GAGGTCGCAACGACCGGACCCCCAGAGGGGTCAGCGAGGGAGACAGCAACTGGCCGAGCAAGCGGCTCAAGGACAGTGCGGTCACGAAAGAAACAGCGAGAAGCACCTGAGTCCAGTGTGAAGGTGTGCAGTGCTGCAGTCGACTCAGTACCAGAGGGCACGGACTCACTAGCACCTAGAGCAGCAGCCGGACTGGTCAGAATGCCCGGGTCGGGCGGAACACGCAAGTACTGAGCACCCTCTCCACTAGTAAACATCGCATACATGGCAGTGAGAATAGCATCAAAGTCTAAAGCCCAGATATCAACTCCCTTCTTCTCCAGATCAGCCCAGTGGGGCAGGTCAGTGGCATCAGGAAACTGGGCCCGCCACGCGTCAGTAAGGCGCGCGAAACAACGCTGTGTGGGATGCGGCCTCCCACACTGCTGGCCAGTGCGGTCACCAGTGCGAATGACGTACGTGCAGGTAAAGCCACGCTGCGCATACCACTCACGGGCGGCCTGAAGCGACGGGGCGGGCTGCTGACTCTGTCCACCGCCAGCGCCTCCACGACCACCACCGCCGCCGCCACCGCCCCGGCCACCTCCACCCCTGCCGCCGCCACGACCACCTCCGCCTCCGCTGCCGCCTCCGCCCCTGCCACCGCTCCCGCCGCTGCTGTCACCACCCCCACTGCCGCCACTAGCCTCTCCAGTCCCACCGCCACCCCCACCGCCACCACTCCCGCCTCCCCCGCCGCCACCTCCACCCTTGCCCCCTTTGCCCCTGCGGCGCCCGCTCGGAGCAGACGCAGCCCCGACCTTCTCAGCACCAAGGAGGTCGACAGCAGCAGCAGAGGCGACAGAGGGGAGGAGAGGGGAAGGGGAACACCCCTCAAAGAACGGGGTGCGGGGGTCGCCACGAGAGGTGCCTACAGCGACGATGCTCGCCTCAGCTGCAAGCAATTCCTTCTCGAGGAGGGCAATGGTGAGCTCAGTGGGAGAGCGAGCGAGGAAGTGATCCCTGACTGCGCGCAGAGAGTCAGGGAGGCGGGTGACGATGTGGTAAAGCGTGATCCAGAGCGGGGGGGGTTGCTGGCAAGGAACTCGTCAGGCATAGCAGCGCGAAAGCGGGCCTCACTGGTCCTGAGGTGGGTGAAGAGGTCAGCGACTGTGCTGAAGGAGGCCAGGTCGGGGAACAGGTAGGGGAGGGTGAGGCGGCCTAGTGCGGCAGAGGCAGGTGAGGAGTAACGAGCAACTACAGCAGTGTACAGGTCCTTAGCAGTCTTGTGCTGGCCAAAGTGCTCGCGCTCATCTAGTGGCAGGGAGTTGCGAATGGCGAAGCGAGCGTGGGCATCACGAGTCTGCCACTGTGAGCGCTGAGTGCTGTCTGCAGTGGTAGGAGGGGCAGTAGCGTGACCGAGGGCATGATCGTACAGTGAGATGTCCTCCTTGGCAGTGAGCTGTAGGAAGAGATGCAGGTCATCTAGCCAGGTTTCGAACTTCACTGGACGGCCCTCAGCATCGAAAGCGAGTACAGGCGGACTAGCCATAATAGTAGCAGCAGTAGCAGTAGCAGTAGTAGCGGTAGCAGCTGCAGCAGCAGCAGTAGCAGTATCAGTAGAAGCGACTGGGCCGCAAAGAGGCGGTGCGCGGGGTCTATGGGGCCAGCGGGGCCTCTATGCGGGGCGCGCGCGGGGACGACGGGGCCGCGCGGACCTCTAGGCGGGGGGGCGCACGGGTCGACGGGGTCGCGGGGCCTCTAGGCGGGGTGCGCACGGGTCGACGGGGTCGCGGGGCCTCTAGGCGGGGCGTGCACGGGGCCGCGAGGCCACCAGGGGTGGGTCGACGGGGCCGCGGGGTCGCGACACGAGGTGCGCACGGGGCCGCGGGGCCTCTAAGTGAGGGGCGACGGGGCGACGGGGCCGCGGGGCCGCTAAACGAGGTGCGCGCGGGGCGTCAAGGGTGGGTCGACGGGGCCGCGGGGCCTCAAGGTGAGGGTCGACGGGGCGACGGGGCCGCGGGGCCGCTAAACGAGGTGCGCGCGGGTGGGTCGACGGGGCCGCGGGGCCGCTAGGTGAGGGTCGACGGGGCGACGGGGCCGCGGGGCCGCTAAACGAGGTGCGCGCGGGTGGGTCGACGGGGCCGCGGGGCCGCTAGGTGAGGGTCGACGGGGCGACTGGGCCGCGGGGCCGCTAAACGAGGTGCGCGCGGGTGGGTCGACGGGGCCGCGGGGCCGCTAGGTGAGGGTCGACGGGGCGACGGGCCGGAATCGGGGCGCGCGCGGGTGCGACGGGGCCACTAAGGGGCAGCGTGCGGGGTCGACGGGGCCTTAAGGGGCCGTACACGAGGGCGCACGAAGGCGCGGAGGGGGAGGCGCTAACGCAGCACTCCGACAGTAGGTAGGTAGGTAGTAGAGGTGGGCCCGAAAAAAAAAAAAACTTAGGTCCTAGCGAAGGACCTGCTCTGAAACCATGTCAGAATAACTGAACGAGGAATGAATGAACTAGCTCAGAGTTTGGTACAAGTAGGAAACCCTAACTTTGTGTACCCCCTAAGGTGTAACCCACTACAGCCTACACAATATAAACATACAATGTTTGACATGAAGAGGATGGGAGCACCACAACAAACAACGAACAGCCACTTCAGGCATACAGTTTAATGCGGGTAACAACTTTTGTACAGCTCTTGACAACTTGTGCACAACTGAAGGATTAACGCAAGAAACACCCACCCCGTCATATTGTGCAAAATCCGGACCAGAAGCCTCAATGTGAACCACCACTGGCTGTCGTCGCACTGCCAGCATGAGCCCCACAAACCCCTTGAACCTTGTGCGCTCAAAGCCGTGCACAGGGTACTCCTTTGTCTGAAAAAAAGAAAGAGAAAGAAACATGAAAGGAATTTACCATGAAGAGCGAATGTTTGCTTGCTGAAATTGCAAGCGACCAATCATAGCAAGCAAAAGAATAAAGGGTGCACTTCAATATGATTTAAATATACATTGTGTACTCATATATGTTGCCTCCTGTTTGTTTCAAGGAATTACCAAGTCTGGCTCGGCCCTCTTTCGGCTCAGGGCAAGCCGGCCTAGGCCGACCATTAATCACGCCTGGTAGCCTCTTGCTGCCATAACTTGGCCTCTTGCCCCCGACCCAACCAGTTTATTATTATGCGCATCGAAGTTCAGGCGCTCTTGTATGCTAACAGGACGTTAGTTCAACTCGGTTATAAGTTACAATCCATGACAGCGGCTTCAACGACTCAGAAGAGTCCTTGTATCACCAGTTGTCGTACAGTCGCCACTCTCGCAACATCAGGCACACAAAAAATCCCCAAATCTCATGAAAGTCTACACACTCTAGTCCTTCACATCACCACGCTACTCACAGGCGATCCAGCCTCTGTGATACTACCACGAGGCAGCGTGAGAAGCCTCTCCAACGCCTCAGTTGGAGAGCCCCCCGTGATGCACTTGTCAGCTTCGGAGGTGAGCCCCATGGCTGCAAAGAGTGACTCCACTGACAGCTGCGGCGCCTCTGCATTCATTGCAATGCCGTATGCCGCTTCCACACTTGCCACCAGTGCAAATGCCCAACAAGCACCTGAATATGATGAACACAGTTTCATAGTTAATTGAAGCTGATGCGACGATGGCTGGAAAATGATGGAAACACGTATAGTGCGGAGCATTGTGCGATAGTTGAATTGAAACATGAAAGTGACCACCAGCAGAACAGCAAACAGAAACTTGCAGACTGTAGCAAGCAACCAACCAAGATACACCAACCAAGCTATCAGCTCCAACATGCTACTCCGGGTTCCCCAATGGTTTCACTCACTGCAGTCTTTTTGGTCCTTAACGGGCCAGCCAAGGAAGGGCACGGCGTCCCATGAATGGAAGTCGCTGATGACCCACGAGTCCTGCTTGCCGGGCGCCACTCGGTATTCCGCACTCACGTAGCACGGGAAGGGGCTGGCCCATGCTGGCATGTACGTGTTCGTTGATAGCTGCAGGCCATAGGCTGGGACGAGCTCAGGAGTTGCAGTACAGTGAAAGGAATGGGATGTGAAATTGACAAGTTGTTATGAGGGAGAACATGAAGGGGGGTAATGAATACAATGGGATGGGGTGCATTGGCCTTACATTGCTGGGCTGCACTGCACCTATATTTGAACACATGTGCATCTCATGTGACCATTCCGCATCCACCAGACGAGCACTCTGTTGAGTGCTGATGCACCTCCATTGATGTGTCAATGATGCGCGGTTCAGGCCTCTCACAAAGAAAACGTTCTCCTAAATCGGTATAGCATGAAGATTGTTGCTCAGTTTCTCTTTTCCAGTTTGCTTTAGATTTAGGTGCACTGTGCTGTGCTGTGGACCATACCATCCCTGCACATTGTGTAGGTTATTCTTCCTGCTTGCACCTAATCTACTGAATGCATGCGCATTCAAAATGAAGAGCCTTAAAAAACTAAGTAAAGCATGGTAAGAAGGAGAGTGAAAGATACAGGTGGAAAGATAAACAAACAGGAGGGCAAACATTTGTACAGATTATTATATGACCAATAGTGTCAGTCAGTCACAACGATGTCTCTTTTGTCCTTCAAACAGAGGCTGTCTCGAGTTTCGCAGCAGGAACATGGGAGACGATGTCTCACCTGGATTACTTGTGACTGGTCGGGAAGGAGCAGGAAGGCCTGAGAAGAAACAAAGAAATCAGAGCGGGGAAAAATGCCGGGTAAAATTCAGAAATTGCGTGACTCATATTTACAATCACATCCAGATTGAATGTCTTGGACAAACCGTGCCTCCACTTTCAGATTGAATGTATTGAACACACTGTGCATTGATACCTCAAGAGCACCAGCACTACCCTCATCTTCACCAGCACAACAATCAGAGCTACCTCCATCGTTACAATAGTTTACACCACCATCCACTCCCACGCTCATTGCCACTTCCTTCACATCCTCCAGACCGCACCTCCAATGCTGTTAACCACCATACCAAGCTCATTGCCCTGCCAGCACACTCTTCTTACCTGTGTCCACGGTGGATTCAAGAATGACGTGCCGCTGAAACGGCTTCACAGTGGTGGACGCCACGAAGCCAAAGAAGAAGGCAGGCCGTTCGGCTGCACCCTGCAGCACCTCACACAGCGCCAGCCTCCTCTCCAGCAGTGCCTCCTGCGGCTTCTCCTGCGAGTCAGCCAGGAAAACCTGGATGGTGCCGGGGTCCCCCGGCTCATAGTCCACCCACGCCGTGTACGCCTTCCTGTTGCTCAGAGGGAAGGGGGACCTCACAGCAGCTACTGACTTGTCCTCGCCTCGAATGTTCAGCCCTACATGCTGGCTGCTCAGGTCGCCGTTCTTCTTGTTCTGCAAAGTGTCAAACTCAACCGCCATGCTCCGCTTGTCCATTCCACCATACCCCACACCTGCACCACTCCCCACTCGGTCCGTCGCAGAGACGACAAATGCAAAGCCATTGAAGCCCACGCGCCCAGATCGAGGCGAGAGGGAGAAGGTGAAGTTGGCGTGGAAGGCGAGCTGCAGCCCACACCCCAACACCGTCTGCCCTGCCTCGTACACAAACAGCGTCACCGGCGCTGCAGTGAAGTTCCCCCCTGTCTCGCGCTGCGTCCCCTTGGTGAGCACAGATGCTGGCGGGAGAACCGGCTGGCTGCTTGAGTAATTCTTATTCTGGCCTGCACAAACATAACAGACAGACAGACACGAGTGGAATACATGTAAGAGCTTGAGCAATGAATGACTGATTGAATATAGGAGGTCAAGGTTCTTAAGTACTTTAAAAGTAAGTTGGAACAGAGGGGCAGAAAATGGGGGGCAATCCTAAATGAGATCGGCTGAAACCTTCAATTGAAGGGGTTGGAGATTTTATTTGATCACAACACATTTGGATTGGGTTGGGATATTGGTGTAACACCCAACCATGAAACTACAACTGCACTAAACCAAGTCATAAAAAGTGCAAGTAAAAAACATGAGATGGAAGTCGATTTCTAACAATACGGAGGAATGAGAGGGTGAGACCTAAGAAGTTCGAACAATTTTACAATGTATAAGCTATTGGAGTTCGTGTGAGTTGGACGCCCCACCATTCTGTGAATCTGTCTGTGGTCATGTTTCATCGATTTCAAGTGGTGTCCCCTACCTAGAGCAACACAGCCGATCTTTCCAAATTGCACAAATTCCGCGTCGCACAGACATGTGGGTGCCAAGCTAGCTCCCTCTGGATAGCACACCCTATGTCCACCACACGCAGCAGCAGCACCAGCAGCAGAGGAGACGCCACAGAATGCATTGCATGCTGCCTCCTGCCGCTGCGGTACCAAGGCACAGCCAAGTGGCAGGGTGAAGCAGTTGGCATCAAAAGAGAGAGGCTGGCACGCCCAGTCGGGCAGGGTGCCCGAGAGGAAGTTGCTGGAGAGATCCAGGGTGCGTGCAGCAAGAGGCGTGACTGCAGGTCCTGTGAGGTAGTTGTGGGAGAGGTCGCTGCGGTGGGGAGGGGCAGGTGCCGGGAGAAAGACACATGGGGATCACCTCATTGCGTCCAGACTTGGAAAAGTGGTTTTCAGGGAGGGAAGGTGTGAGGGGTTGTTGAGTAGCATGTGTATGGATGATGTGTGGGGAGAAGATGACGGACACGGGAAGGCATGAAAAGGAAAACATGGAGTATGAGAAGCGGAGCAGAGGGGGAATAGGAGGTAAATGAGGAGGGAGCAGGCGAAATCCATATATTCGAATTGACGCATTGACATGAAGATGAAGAAGATACATATCAGGAAATGGTGGGCTGAGTTGGGGGAAGTATGATGTGAAGAGAGACGAGATGAGGAAGCAACCCAAAGGATGTCGAGGTGGAGATTTGAAGGCCGCAAGCATGGCAACCACGAGCAATCACGTGGTGATGCTGAAGTCAGTTTCCACAAAAAAACTACAGTGCATGCTTGGTTGGCACGTCCCATCAGCACGTGGATTCCAATTGGCACACATTCATTCGTTTAGTTTTGGGTAGTGTTCAGTGTTCACTACCCTCACTTGAAGACTTCCACCTCTCTGCTTAAGAATGTTTTTGTTTTCCTGATCTTTGTGACTAGAGAGCATGCATGGCACGGCTGGTGCTGCTTTTGGATCGCTCACAGCACAATTGTGAGAGAACAGCGAGCATGGGTGTGTGACTTGTTGAGTGCGTACGAGAGGGAGAATGGCAGAGCATGCGGAAAGGAGTGAGGAAGTGTATCGGTCGTACAAGTATGTGAGCTGTGTAAGCTTGGTGAGAGTGCTTGGTATGCTCCCATACAGCTCGTTGAAGGCGAGAGACCTGATGGCCATGGCGGGGAGACGGAAAGATGTTAGAGTAGGGCGACCGGGAATATAGAAGGGGAGAATGAGGAGGGATGGAGACCAAGTTGGATAGGTGAGCGAGAGAAGATTGAAGGGCTGAGCAGGCAAAAACAAGCCAAACAGACAAAAAATGTCTGCTAGCGACGACCCTGTCTACTAAGCCAGCTCAACAACGTCAGAATGCTTCTTAACAAGAAGGTAGGAGCATACGTCAACCGCTGCAGAAACCAAAGGAATCAGTTCAAGAAGAGCGGCGAACACTTTCTTAACGATATTTTTGTGATAATCAACCTCACTGGCCCGGGTCCAGAGTGGCATCAGTTCAAGTCACTTCTTCTCGCTCAGGGCGCAATCTTCGAAACCTCGCTCTGCGCCAGGCCCCCAGAAGTCAGAGAAATTTCTCTGATTTGCATGAAAAACTCTGAGAATTCAGAATTTTTTCTAAGCGAGGTCTGTTAAAATCAGAGATTTTTGGACCCCAACTCTGTAATTTTCAGAGAAATTTTAGAGCTGACTCTGACGTTTCAGAGTTTTCCAGGAGTGTACTCTGATCACTCCGAGTACAAACGCGCACCGATTCCGTTTTCTGCTTGTGTTATTGACTAGTGATTCGGTTCGGACTTTACAGGTCAATGCAAAATCGGCTTGAAACTGCAAATCCGCGCCTTACAGCACAAGATTTTCGCCCAAACAGCAAAATCGCCCTGACACAACAGATTTGCGCTGTCAGAGCACAATGATTTCGACCAATCACCAAGAACTTCCACCTGACATTGCAGATTCGCCCTTTCATACCACAAGATTCGCCCTGACACAGAAATTCGCCCTGTCGGGGCATGTTCTCCCGAAAATCCCCTTAGTCTAGCATGTTTCAGTATTAGATGAAGCATTGAATACATTTCTGCTGAAACATTAGATACATTGATGTTTCAGACTTTTTTATTAAGGCACTCTGAAATTTCAGCCCTTTTTTTATACCAACTCTGAGGGTTTCAGACTAAGATTGAAGGTGTACTAGTCTGATGAATCAGACAGGCCAAAAACGAATCTGAGGGCCTGCTCTGCGCTACTCTCCTCACCAAACAGCAGGAGAAGTAGGAAAATAGTATAAAACCTCAGAAAATTAGTATAGAATAGCCTGATAGAGCCAGCCTTGCCAGAAGCGTATTTATTAAGCATCAATTTCACGACAGTCCAGTTCATCTTACGAACAGAGAAAGTCTATACCCAACTAAAATTATGGCACACAAATGAACTTGGACCCTACACTACCAACACACTTCTTCTCATTGTACATATAATATTTTGAAATTGCTCCATTCGCAACTCCACCATAGAAGCTGTAAGCACCCGTGCATGTCAGTGACGGTGACACTGGTTTTTGCCTGCCCTTCTTGCACATGCCAACAACGAATGGCCAATACTCTGCTCTTAGGCAAATCTGAAATGGTGGCAACACAACAAATGAAAGAAACATGCACTGAGAGTAAAAAAAAAAGCACGCACTCAACGAGCAATGAAGGGCAAAAAGTTGGAAAACCATTCTCTGGCATATGAGAAATGACTCCTTGCCCTCTCATCCATCAAACATACGTTGGGTTCACCCACCAATTTTCCCTCCATATCCTTCCCATCTCTTGCGCCCCCCAACCGGTTCCCCTCCACCCCTCACCTGCACGCCAGTGCTGCTGCCAACAGTAGAGGCGGAGACCGGGATGACACTCGAGCAGATGAGGCCGGGATTGTTGCGGTACAGCTCAGCCCAGCGTGTAGCGTTCTCCTTCCCGGCCCCCGTTGGATCGTCCTCACTCCCCGCAACCTGCAGCAGCAGGCGCTCACACGTGTCCTGTGCTGTGAGCACGCCGTATTGCAGGCACCGAGGCACAGTGTAGGCGAAAGTGGCGTTGCGCTCGATGCACAGAGAGCGGCCCGCCTTGATGGGCTCAGGGCAGTTGAGGCCGGGATTGAGTGCCGTGAGGTTGCTGGTGGTGAGGAACAGCTGGGCGCTGATGGACCAGCATGTGTCGCCCTGGAGGGTGGAGCAATGGGAGAGAATGTACGGAAGCCTGAGGTGAAAGGAGTGCAGCTTTACAATGCGGAGCTAAGCAATGCGGAGTGGGGAATATAGAGGAATGATTGATGAGATTCCATACAACGAAGAAAAACAAAAAGGGCTAATTCTCACACTGAGGGTGTAGAAGAACGCAGTGCAAGGAATGAGGACAGGACTTCCCAGCTGAAGCACCATGTTACGAGGCAATGCATGATTGCAATCAATGCCCTGCAGTGAGGAACGCGTGAATTTTTTCAATCAACCGTTCAGGGGATGGCGTAATGTTTGCATGATGAGCCGGCAAGAAAATGGACAGAGTAAACTTAAGCTGTTGAGTGTAGGTGTAGCGACATGAATTTTCTAATGGCGTAAAGCTCATAAGGCGTAACTTCATTTGACTTTTGAAGATTATATAATAAGGCGTAAAGCTCTCTTCTGAAGAACCAACAACTTTGATCGACCACTAGCGATGCCTACCTCTCCACTCTTGCAGCCTCTCCATCTCCACTGCTTACCGCATTCTGCTGCGTGAATTGGGCAAGTGAGAGGCCCACAACAGGAAGAACATCAGAGCACCACCAGTTGCTTCCACTCACTACCAGGGTGCTGGCTGTGGCGTTGGCTGGATTGGATGTGAAAGCAGGGGAACACGCCCAAAACAAACGCAATAGGTGTGTGTGCATAATATGGGTGGACAGTGAAAATAGTTCGCAGGGGTGGCAATGGTCCCAACGACAGTACAAGAGTAAGCGAAAGAAGCAGTGACCCTCCTACAAACGAAGGCAAAGCAGCAGCACCTGGGTCGCAGGTGGGGAAGTTGTCAATGGTTTTGCTTGCAACGTAGTTGGGAGGGCAGATGCAGGAGTAGGAGCCCTTGGCGTCGTTGATGCATGCGCCCACGTAGCACAGGTTCTTCAAGTCAGACCCACACACATCCACTGCCAAGCGGCACAAACACAATTGTGGAGCACAGCGTCGAGAGAGATACGTGCGTTGGGAGCAATGGGAGAGAGGCAGGAGGGATTGGAGGGAGAGATAGAACTCCAAAAGGATGTAGACAGGGGCTTGATTGGAAAATCATCCGAAGATAAAACAAGCCCGTTGTTCTGAAAATGACCACTGTTCTGACAACGGACATGGATCAAAGTTATCTGAACCAAACAACTTACAGTAAGTACACGTTTGGAAGCCATATCCGTTTGCAACTTGAACAAATGGCTGCTTAGACTCGTTGGGAATCGAACAGTCACACGAGTTGCTGTTGTTCTGTAGATTGACCCGGCATGTGAACCGTCCACACGGGTTCATGCTGGGCTGCAAGTCACCATCGCCCTTGAAGCTCTTGTGGCCGCAAGGGTCCTTGGGGACTAGAGGGTGGTACAGACGACAACAGGAGGAGTAGAAACATGTGTGTATGCGGCTTCATTGGAAAAGACTGTGGGCAGGAAAAGATAAGCCTTAGAAAAATGACAGGTGTAAAAATTTAGACACAACTTACAACTTTGTGATTGACCACCTTACAACTTTGAGGACACCATTGGCTCACACTCCCTTATCTCTGTTGGCAATGCCTCCACCCCGTTCTAATCCATAGCCAAAAACAAAAGCCATCCTCTAGACAAACGTTGACTAAATGCTTGTTATGTGAATTTCACCCTGGCCCAATTATAGTTGACCATGTGATGTACGTAAAGGGGGGGATTGCCACATCGGGAGCGTGATGGGGGAAGCTGCCCCACTCAAGACCACGAGGTAGATGCCTCACTCTTGACAATGGAATAGATGCCTCACTCTTGACTATGGAATAGATGACTCACTCTTGACAATGGGGTAGATGCCAGGCAGCACGTTGATGCCACACACGCCATCCCCTCCCTGAATGTCCATGCGCATGTGGCCCCGGTCGCCCCACTCCACTCCCCACGAGTTGCGGAGAATCCAAAATGGAGGCGCAATGCGATTTTGGCTCCCGTCATTTCTCAAAACGAAGTAGCCAACAACGAGTACGACGTGGTTAAGTTTGCCGGTATAACAGCCAGGATCCAGGTACTTGAAGGTCTGAAGAGGATGGGAGCACCACAACAAACAACAAACAGCCACTTCAGGCATACAGTTTAATGCGGGTAACAACTTTTGTACAGCTCTTGACAACTTGTGCACAACTGAAGGATTAACGCAAGAAACACCCACCCCGTCATATTGTGCAAAATCCGGACCACAAGCCTCAATGTGAACCACCACTGGCTGTCGTCGCACTGCCAGCATGAGCCCCACAAACCCCTTGAACCTTGTGCGCTCAAAGCCGTGCACAGGGTACTCCTTTGTCTGAAAAAAAGAAAGAGAAAGAAACATGAAAGGAATTTACCATGAAGAGCGAATGTTTGCTTGCTGAAATTGCAAGCGACCAATCATAGCAAGCAAAAGAATAAAGGGTGCATTTCAATATGATTTAAATATACATTGTGTACTCATATATGTTGCCTCCTATTTGTTTCAAGGAATTACCAAGTCTGGCTCGGCCCTCTTTCGGCTCAGGGCAAGCCGGCCTAGGCCGACCATTAATCACGCCTGGTAGCCTCTTGCTGCCATAACTTGGCCTCTTGCCCCCGACCCAACCAGTTTATTATTATGCGCATCGAAGTTCAGGCACTCTTGTATGCTAACAGGACGTTAGTTCAACTCGGTTATAAGTTACAATCCATGACAGCGGCTTCAACGACTCAGAAGAGTCCTTGTATCACCAGTTGTAGTACAGTCGCCACTCTCGCAACATCAGGCACACAAAAAATCCCCAAATCTCATGAAAGTCTACACACTCTAGTCCTTCACATCACCACGCTACTCACAGGCGATCCAGCCTCTGTAATACTACCACGAGGCAGCGTGAGAAGCCTCTCCAACGCCTCAGTTGGAGAGCCCCCTGTGATGCACTTGTCAGCTTCGGAGGTGAGCCCCATGGCTGCAAAGAGTGACTCCACTGACAGCTGCGGCGCCTCTGCATTCATTGCAATGCCGTATGCCGCTTCCACACTTGCCACCAGTGCAAATGCCCAACAAGCACCTGAATATGATGAACACAGTTTCATAGTTAATTGAAGCTGATGCGACGATGGCTGGAAAATGATGGAAACACGTATAGTGCGGAGCATTGTGCGATAGTTGAATTGAAACATGAAAGTGACCACCAGCAGAACAGCAAACAGAAACTTGCAGACTGTAGCAAGCAACCAACCAAGATACACCAACCAAGCTATCAGCTCCAACATGCTACTCCGGGTTCCCCAATGGTTTCACTCACTGCAGTCTTTTTGGTCCTTAACGGGCCAGCCAAGGAAGGGCACGGCGTCCCATGAATGGAAGTCGCTGATGACCCACGAGTCCTGCTTGCCGGGCGCCACTCGGTAGTCCGCACTCACGTAGCACGGGAAGGGGCTGGCCCATGCTGGCATGTACGTGTTCGTTGATAGCTGCAGGCCATAGGCTGGGACGAGCTCAGGAGTTGCAGTACAGTGAAAGGAATGGGATGTGAAATTGACAAGTTGTTATGAGGGAGAACATGAAGGGGGGTAATGAATACAATGGGATGGGGTGCATTGGCCTTACATTGCTGGGCTGCACTGCACCTATATTTGAACACATGTGCATCTCATGTGACCATTCCGCATCCACCAGACGAGCACTCTGTTGAGTGCTGATGCACCTCCATTGATGTGTCAATGATGCGCGGTTCAGGCCTCTCACAAAGAAAACGTTCTCCTAAATCGGTATAGCATGAAGATTGTTGCTCAGTTTCTCTTTTCCAGTTTGCTTTAGATTTAGGTGCACTGTGCTGTGCTGTGGACCATACCATCCCTGCACATTGTGTAGGTTATTCTTCCTGCTTGCACCTAATCTACTGAATGCATGCGCATTCAAAATGAAGAGCCTTAAAAAACTAAGTAAAGCATGGTAAGAAGGAGAGTGAAAGATACAGGTGGAAAGATAAACAAACAGGAGGGCAAACATTTGTACAGATTATTATATGACCAATAGTGTCAGTCAGTCACAACGATGTCTCTTTTGTCCTTCAAACAGAGGCTGTCTCGAGTTTCGCAGCAGAAGCATGGGAGACGATGTCTCACCTGGATTACTTGTGACTGGTCGGGAAGGAGCAGGAAGGCCTGAGAAGAAACAAAGAAATCAGAGCGGGGAAAAATGCCGGGTAAAATTCAGAAATTGCGTGACTCATATTTACAATCACATCCAGATTGAATGTCTTGGACAAACCGTGCCTCCACTTTCAGATTGAATGTATTGAACACACTGTGCATTGATACCTCAAGAGCACCAGCACTACCCTCATCTTCACCAGCACAACAATCAGAGCTACCTCCATCGTTACAATAGTTTACACCACCATCCACTCCCACGCTCATTGCCACTTCCTTCACATCCTCCAGACCGCACCTCCAATGCTGTTAACCACCATACCAAGCTCATTGCCCTGCCAGCACACTCTTCTTACCTGTGTCCACGGTGGATTCAAGAATGACGTGCCGCTGAAACGGCTTCACAGTGGTGGACGCCACGAAGCCAAAGAAGAAGGCAGGCCGTTCGGCTGCACCCTGCAGCACCTCACACAGCGCCAGCCTCCTCTCCAGCAGTGCCTCCTGCGGCTTCTCCTGCGAGTCAGCCAGGAAAACCTGGATGGTGCCGGGGTCCCCCGGCTCATAGTCCACCCACGCCGTGTACGCCTTCCTGTTGCTCAGAGGGAAGGGGGACCTCACAGCAGCTACTGACTTGTCCTCGCCTCGAATGTTCAGCCCTACATGCTGGCTGCTCAGGTCGCCGTGCTTCTTGTTCTGCAAAGTGTCAAACTCAACCGCCATGCTCCGCTTATCCATTCCACCATACCCCACACCTGCACCACTCCCCACTTGGTCCGTCGCAGAGACGACAAATGCAAAGCCATTGAAGCCCACGCGCCCAGATCGAGGCGAGAGGGAGAAGGTGAAGTTGGCGTGGAAGGCGAGCTGCAGCCCACACCCCAACACCGTCTGCCCTGCCTCGTACACAAACAGCGTCACCGGCGCTGCAGTGAAGTTCCCCCCTGTCTCGCGCTGCGTCCCCTTGGTGAGCACAGATGCTGGCGGGAGAACCGGCTGGCTGCTTGAGTAATTCTTATTCTGGCCTGCACAAACATAACAGACAGACGGACACGAGTGGAATACATGTAAGAGCTTGAGCAATGAATGACTGATTGAATATAGGAGATCAAGGTTTTTAAGTACTTTAAAAGTAAGTTGGAACAGAGGGGCAGAAAATGGGGGGCAATCCTAAATGAGATCGGCTGAAACCTTCAATTGGAGGGGTTGGAGATTTTATTTGATCACAACACATTTGGATTGGGTTGGGATATTGGTGTAACAACCAACCATGAAACTACAACTGCACTAAACCAAGCCATAAAAAGTGCAAGTAAAAAACATGAGATGGAAGTCGATTTCTAACAATACGGAGGAATGAGAGGGTGAGACCTAAGAAGTTCGAACAATTTTACAATGTATAAGCTATTGGAGTTCGTGTGAGTTGGACGCCCCACCATTCTGTGAATCTGTCTGTGGTCATGTTTCATCGATTTCAAGTGGTGTCCCCTACCTAGAGCAACACAGCCGATCTTTCCAAATTGCACAAATTCCGCGTCGCACAGACATGTGGGTGCCAAGCTAGCTCCCTCTGGATAGCACACCCCATGTCCACCACACGCAGCAGCAGCACCAGCAGCAGAGGAGACGCCACAGAATGCATTGCATGCTGCCTCCTGCCACTGCGGTACCAAGGCACAGCCAAGTGGCAGGGTGAAGCAGTTGGCATCAAAAGAGAGAGGCTGGCACGCCCAGTCGGGCAGGGTGCCCGAGAGGAAGTTGCTGGAGAGATCCAGGGTGCGTGCAGCAAGAGGCGTGACTGCAGGTCCTGTGAGGTAGTTGTGGGAGAGGTCGCTGCGGTGGGGAGGGGCAGGTGCCGGGAGAAAGACACATGGGGATCACCTCATTGCGTCCAGACTTGGAAAAGTGGTTTTCAGGGAGGGAAGGTGTGAGGGGTTGTTGAGTAGCATGTGTATGGATGATGTGTGGGGAGAAGATGACGGACACGGGAAGGCATGAAAAGGAAAACATGGAGTATGAGAAGCGGAGCAGAGGGGGAACAGGAGGTAAATGAGGAGGGAGCAGGCGAAATCCATATATTCGAATTGACGCATTGACATGAAGATGAAGAAGATACATATCAGGAAATGGTGGGCTGAGTTGGGGGAAGTATGATGTGAAGAGAGACGAGATGAGGAAGCAACCCAAAGGATGTCGAGGTGGAGATTTGAAGGCCGCAAGCATGGCAACCACGAGCAATCACGTGGTGATGCTGAAGTCAGTTTCCACAAAAAAACTACAGTGCATGCTTGGTTGGCACGTCCCATCAGCACGTGGATTCCAATTGGCACACATTCATTCGTTTAGTTTTGGGTAGTGTTCAGTGTTCACTACCCTCACTTGAAGACTTCCACCTCTCTGCTTAAGAATGTTTTTGTTTTCCTGATCTTTGTGACTAGAGAGCATGCATGGCACGGCTGGTGCTGCTTTTGGATCGCTCACAGCACAATTGTGAGAGAACAGCGAGCATGGGTGTGTGACTTGTTGAGTGCGTACGAGAGGGAGAATGGCAGAGCATGCGGAAAGGAGTGAGGAAGTGTATCGGTCGTACAAGTATGTGAGCTGTGTAAGCTTGGTGAGAGTGCTTGGTATGCTCCCATACAGCTCGTTGAAGGCGAGAGACCTGATGGCCATGGCGGGGAGACGGAAAGATGTTAGAGTAGGGCGACCGGGAATATAGAAGGGGAGAATGAGGAGGGATGGAGACCAGGTTGGATAGGTGAGCGAGAGAAGATTGAAGGGCTGAGCAGGCATGAATCGTGGCTAGAGTCGTGGTGGTGATATAGAAGAATGGTGCAATACTAACATGCTAAATTGACATGCCGGATTCAGTCGCTATGTTTACTTATTACATTCACGTGCTAGATTCAGTTGCTAGATTTACTCGCTATATGCACTTCTAGATTCACGTGCTTGACTCACTTACTGAATTCCCTTACTAGATTCACTTGCTAGATTTACTCGCTAAATTCACTTGCTCGATTGACTCGCTAGATTCACATTCACTTGCTAAATCCCCTTTCTAGACTCACTTGCTAGATTCACTTGCTGCATTCACTTCCTAAATTCACTCGCTATGTTTACTTCAATTATGTGCTAGATTCAATAGCTTAATTCCCTTACCAGATTCACTTGCTAGATTTGCTCGCTAAATTCACTTGCTAAGTGCACTCGCTAAATTAGATTAGCTCGGTAGAATAACCTGCTAGATTGACGTGCTGCCTGGTGGAAGTGTCTCCAGCGGTACACAACACATGAGGTTCACGCCAATGCCATAAGACAAAGCACCAAGAAGCCACACTGGTGCTCGCATGCGAGATGCATTTCGCAAAGACCTGACTTCCTATAACTGCCATGGATTGAGTATCGACACTACAACTACAGAGAACATGGTGCTACGGCCATGCTAGTTTCAAGGAGAGAAAGGAAAGAGTACCATTCTTTCCCAGAATTGCAGCCGCACGTAAGCTCACAGGTAGCGTAGTTGGGATAGTTCCCCAAGAGAGTCAGGAATCCTCCCACTCATACGATTGTCATGAAAGGACCTGTGAAGTGCACGTGCACATACAAGTTACAGAGAGGGGACGCATGAAGGACACTGCTCTGGTAGCATACCCAACACAACAAACACATGCATACAACGCTCTACAGTAGACATGAGCAACGAGACGAGTCGAGTATTTTACTCGACTTGTTTTTGTTACTCGGTTTGCTCGACTAACGAGTCGGCTGCAATGGTGGGCTTGTGTCACAAACACATGGCCTGGCCTGGGTACAAATACCTCCAAAAAACTAAGAAAGAACTTAGTAAATGAGTCGAGCATTTCTTTATCTAAAACGAGTACTTCATTACTCAGTCCGAGTAACGAGGTACTCGTTTTCAAAATGAGTAGGCTGAGATTGAGTTGAGTATACTCGACTCAACCAGCGTACACCACAGTCACACATGCAATGAAGCAATCCACCCAACTAGTACAGGTTCAATTCTTGCTCATTCCACACTCTCAACACAAGGAGAAGTTACCACCCACAGCCATTGCAGATTGGAAAGGCTGCTGATGGAAGATGGAATGGACCCGATGAGGTTGTTCATGCTCAGTATCCTGCACAGGTAAAGATGATTGGCAATGTGAAGGTGTATTAGCAGGATAATGGTGTTAGTGTTAGCCCTCAATCTCACACTTTGTATTTTGCACTTTGTGTTTGGTTGGGTGTACACCTACATCCCAACCAAACCCAAATGTAAATTCCAAGCAATCTTCAACCCACCAATTGGAGATTGTGTTGGGATTACCCCCAATTCCTAGAGATTGTCCCCGATTCCCCTCCCCATCCATTGCTTGCCCATCTTGGATGTACTTAAGGAGTTTCAACCTCATTACTAATGCATCGGTTATAAGCTTAAGTTGTGACGTGATATCAGAGTCATTCAACCGCACACGCGGATCGTGATTCTCTTATCTCTGCGGATCTTCATCCTGCAAACCTCGACGTAGCCGCCTTCAATCCCGTTGATGGTGATTCGTGACATCCGTGGCCGGAAATTCTCCCGCGCCACTTTCCCTTCATTCTCGACGACGACTTCTACAACTTCTCTGGTAAGCGCATCGTCGACGCTATAACCAATCGCACTTTTTCGACAGACATCTTCGCTTTGACGTAGCTTCTCGTCGGGCCGCCGCCCGTCGCCCCGCAGCTTCTCGTCGGGCCGCCGCCCGTCGCCCTGCAGCGTCACCTTCGAGCTGCCGCACGTCGCCTCGCAACAGCACTTCTACCCCCATCCCTTCCCCCTTCCCGCAGCTGAACAGGTGCAGCCGCGTAGCCGAGCAGCCGTGTAGCAGCGACGCCGAGCAGTAGCGTAGCAGCGAAGCCGAGCAGCAGCGCAGCCGCGAAGCTGAGGGTGGTGTGTGGGGGGGTGTGTGGGAATAGGGTTAGTAGTTAGTTGACACTAAATCGTCGTTTCCATCAAATTCTCCTTCGGAAACCCTCAACCTCGAAATTCTCTTTCGTAAACCCTAAACCTCAAGTTCCTATCGGTGACTTAAGAGCGGCGCTTCACGCGAGACACAAAGGGGTTCTTCATCATGGCTTTTACCTCTTCCACCATCGTCAACCCATCACCCCTCTCCGTCTTGAAGCCGACGACACTAGCTCCAACTTCAAGGCATGGAGCGACGGGTTTGACAAGCACCTCCTGAGCCGTGATGTGCAGGAATTGAACCTCAAGGACGTCCTTGTCAATCGTGGCATGGGAAAACAACCCCCTCTCCCCAGTGAGCCGACTGATCTTGCAAGTGATGCTGACACGAGGGCCTACGAGAATGCTGTTGACAAATATCGTGAATGGAAGAAGGCCGATGCAGCTATCATCAGCGTCTTCATCGGCTCCACCCCTCCCAAACTTGTCAAAACTTTCCATAACTACCCCACCTCCAACGCTATTTGGAAGTATCTCCAGGACCAATTCATGAACAAGACGGCAGTCAAATTTGCCACCCCAGCATGTTCCAGGTCCGCCTTGAGAATTGTTCGGGAATAACTGACTACATTGCCAAGGTGCAGACCATTCATGGAGAACTCAAGGAGCTGGGCATTGTCTTCCTTAAACAAGCTCCTGCAGCCGACCTTCTTGTTGGCCTCACCTCGGCATACGAAGTCATGAGGAAGGTGCTCCTCACACTCTCGGCGGAAGACCTCACTTTTGCTAGTCTCCTCTGCCCTCCTCTCTGCCGAGAAAGACCCAACCGCTCAAGCGAAGGCCCATGCCCACCGTGCTCCTGTGCTTCAAGCAAGTGTCGCCTCGGCACGCTTCCAGTGCAACCGCTTCCTTCCGTGCACCTACGTCGTCAAGTATGGCAACCGCAAGGGACAAGTGTGTGGTGGCACTAACCACCCCCCGCTACGTGCTTCAAGAAGAAAGACGACGAACGGTATGCCATCCACGGAGTCGACAAGAAGCCCCGGGTTGGATGCGCCCTCGTAAAGCCAACCTAGTTGAGGTCCAGAACCCCGCTTCGACTAGTGCTAATAATAGTGCTCCCGTTGATGTGCGTATCAACTTCCTCGTCCCTGGCACTCCCATGATAAATGAAGCAGCCTCCCAATACATCGGCTCATCAGAAGCATCACAATTCATAGTATTCACACTCGACAGCGGGACCACTCACACAGTGCTCAAGGAGACACCCTCCTTCAAACCCTACTCCACACCTATTCCTCTCTTGAGAGCTGAATTCAAGCTTCACCACTTTTGCCAAGTGTTCGTCCACTGTCCCATGCCCCGCCTTCCCATCTGGCACTGTGACTGGCATGTGCCTGCCTTCACTACGCCACAATCTATTGGCTAAAAACTACTTCAGGAGATAGGGTCCGCACCATAATCTAATAGTACAAGGACTATTGTGACATTGTTGACCCACTCACCAACAAGGTCTTGGCTCGCTTCACCCTCAAGAGTTTCACTAGAGAAAGTTGACAACAATGATACAAAGAAGTTGGCAAGGCAAGACTACATCAGAGCTAGCATGCAAGCAGGTCGACTGCCAGCGCAGCACGGTCGACCGCGCGCCAGCACAACTTGGTCGACCGCGCTCCAGCAGTGCAAGGACGCGGCTTGCCAACGCTGCAGGTCGACGGCGTCACAACAGCGCAAGTCGACGGCGTGCCAGCGTTGCTCCTGCAGTCCAGCATCGCACCCGCTTCGCAGGTGCTCGTAGATGATTGGCGTGCACTGCTTCGTCACCTGCACAGCGCACACACCAAGTCCACCTTGTGCTGACGACTGCATCTGATGCACCACGTCGACCTCGGGATACCATCACCGAGGTCGTCCTCGCCAAAACCACCTGGGCGACCATCGCAAGCCTTCGCAGAACCTCGTCACCCAGGTAACCTGGTCGACCAGGCAACCAGGTCGACCAGAGCCCGTCGACCACCCAGGTCGACGACCACTTCCGGTCGACCTCCCAGGTCGACCGCTCCCTCTGGTACGTGCCGGTCGACCTCCCAAGTCGACGGCCACCTCCAGTCGACCTCCCCAGGTCGACCACTATCCCCTGGTCGACCAGCTTCAAGTCGACGTCACTCCTGGTCGACCAGAAGGCTTGGTCGACTTACCAGGTCGACCAGAAGGTCTGGTCGACGTCCCAGGTCGACCAGAAGGGCTGGTCGACGTCCCAGGTCGACCAGAAGGCCTGGTCGACCAGAAGGTCTGGTCGACGTCCCAGGTCGACCAGAAGGGCTGGTCGACTTCCCAGGTCGACCAGCTGAAGTTGGCGCCCTCCTGAAGTCGGCGCCCATGCAGTGGCTCCCCGTGCAGGTCGACCAACCTCGTCGACCAACTCGCCCACTACTGCAGGTCGGCTGCACCCCTACATCCGACCACGAAGTCGGCTCCGCCCAAGCGAGGACGGGGCCAACACCCAACTCCCGTTGACACTCCCCTGCCGCGTTCACGCTTGGGCCTCCAGCCCCCACGGCAGCACTGCTCGGAGAACAGCTCGTCGACGTGCACCCAACACACAGCACGTCGTCCACCGCACCAGCCATGCAAAAGGGCATGGCACCTACTGCTGCACTTCGTCAACTTCGTCGCCCACGTCGGCCAAGCACACCTGGCCGATAGCGACAGAGCA